GGTGACAGAAAACCCAGGTACTGGCTTCTACAGCAACACAAACTCATTGGAAAAGTAATTTCTTTTACCAGCAACTTTTCCTAGAAGTTTTGCTGGTTTGCTAGAACCAGTATCCATTTCTGATGGGCTCTTCCAAGACACACACATGAGTAATGTTAAAGGACCAGCCCCTCCAGGTACCTGCCACACACCATCACAGCTGTGTCATCCACAGACAGGTTAGTGACAAACCCCCACAGCTGGGGCAGGGAAAGCTCACCAGGATCATCACAGTTATTCCCAGCCCCCATCTGACACCAGCCCCTCCAAGACCAAGCTCTTACTTCTGCGGAGTCTTAATGACCAAATGAACAGTGAGCCCATCTTTGATCCCATGTTGATTCAACGTGTCTCCATCCTTCAGGATCTTCCCAGCAAAGATCAGAACCAGCTGATCCTGTTTGGCTTTAAATCGTCTAGAAATCTCTTCTTTGAACTGAAAAACAAACAGCATTTTTCAGGCAAAGGACTGGTACCAGTAACATAAACCCATTCTGGGAACAGCCCAAGGAACTGACAAGTCCTCAGAGCCCATGAAGGTGCCACACAGTCACCAGCTGCTGCTGATGCCTCAAGTGCTAATGAAAACCAAACCAAAGCAAAGACAAGCTCTGAAATCACAAACTGTGGAGGAAATGTCAGAAAAAACCAGAGCCATTCCCTAAGAAGAGCTGAAGGCTTCCCAAGCCAGACCAATTGTGCTTCAGGCCTAACCCAAACACACCATTTATGCTGAACGACTTAACTGATTTCATCTGTTCATTTGAGTTTTTTTTCCTAAGGAAAGCCAAACTCTGATTTAATACAGGACAGCGCTCTATGGAAAAGGGAATAATCCTTTATCAGCCAATGGAAATAAACTAGGTCTTCTCCAATTCCTATTTCTGCAACTGAATTCCCTGTGAGCATGCCACGGAGCATGGACACCTATTCCTTACTGTGTGCTGTGTTGGGATTTACACCTGCAAGCAAGACTCTCACTGCTGGCCCTGCCGGGGCATCCCCAGATTGATTTGGAGGAAATAAAGCCTTGCACTTGGGAAACACAAACTAAAGGGAATTCAAAGGGAAGGGGAAGACCAGGATGGAGAGTGAAACACATGCCAGTTTCAGAGCTCTCAGCCTGGAGAGAGCTTCAGTTTACCAGAACTCTAAAATCAAGGCTGGGCACAGCTCAGCTCTGGCCCCAGATCACCCTGTCTGTGCCCCCCTGCACAAAGCCCTCACTCCACACCTCCTGTACCAAGGGGCTCCCCCCGAGGGGAAGGATCAGGAGGGCCACACGTGCATGCCCACGCCATGAACTGCTGCCCAGAGATCCCTGCCAGGCCCTTCACACGCTGACCCCGTGCCCTACGCCCGACCAAAGCACACAGCCAGCCCAACGCAGCGCCCATGACACCTTGTCCCAGTGGGCATCGCCACTTCCTCCATGCCAGGACCAGCCCTAGAGCCCGCCCCCGCCAATCCCAGCCTTTGCTAAGCGCAGTTCTTGGCAATCCCAGCCCTCTCCCGCTCCCTAGCAGGTGCAGAGCCCCCCAGCCCACCCGTGGAAGGGCCGATGTTTCCTTTCCTCCACCTCATCCAACGCTGGCCCCAAACATCTGCCCAGTTCCTCTCCCCAGGCCAGGGGAATCTGCCTCCAGAGAAATCCTGCTGTACGCCAGGACCCTCAGGTGTCCCCCTGGCAGCCCCCCACGCACCGAGGCTCTGCCCACAATCCCAACACCCTTCCCACACCTCCGCTCAGGAAACTCTCCCACGCAGCGCGGCCCACGGGCCGAGCCCCCAGACCCCACCCCGGTCCCTCGCACCCCTCCCACTGCCACCACCCCCAAACTCCTGTGTTTTCGACACCTACGACCCCTCCCACAGGTGAGCCCCCCCAGACACCTGCCGCCCTCGGGGCTGTTTCCCCTGCGAAGGCCTCCAGCACCTGTCCTCCCTCCGATCTCCCCGCTGCAGCAAGGCCCAAAGGCCCGGGGTGCCGCGGAAAGCCCGGCTTGTCCCGAGCCCAGCCCCGGCCCAGATCGCGTCTCCAAGAGCCCCCCGGACCCGAGCACCTTCCCCCGCTCCTCACGCGCGCCCCAAATTCCTGCCCGGCCCCAAAACTCGGGTCCCTTCCCAAAAACCCTTCGCCGCACTCCTGTTTCCCTCAGCCCCCGCAGAGCAGCCGCCCCCGCCCCTCAGCCGCCGCCACAGCCCCCCCAGGCCTCCCCGGCCTGCCCCCGCCCCCACCTCGCGCACGGAGGCGCCATCCGCGATGACGATCTCCTCCTTGTCCTTGGGGGTCTTCACGGTCACACGGATGAGCGCCCCGCCGGGCCCTGCCTGGCCGTCCCCGCCAGGCCCGGGGCCGGGACCGGGGCCGCCGCCACCGCCGCCGCCGCCACTCGGCTCCGCCATCTTCGCCGCCCGCCGCCAGCCCGGGCCGCCGCCACCACAGAGAGCGGGGAGCGGCGGCGCAGCGCCGCCTCGGCCCGACACAGCTCCTCCCGGCGGCGCGGAGGAACAGCGGCAGCGCGGGGCCGGGCGGCCGGAGCGGGGCCCGAGCCTGGGGAGGGGCAGCTGCCCGCAGGGCCCCACCGACCCCCTTTCACCGGCTCCATCCCCCATCCCCACGGTCACCGAGGGCCACGCCTGCCCCCTGCTCCCTCCTGCTGCCCAGGCCCCTCTGGAGTCCCGGCGCCTACGGGGACACCGGCGGGCCCGGGCGGGACTACAACTCCCGGCATGCCGCGGGCGCGGCGCGGCCCCGGGACGGCCCCGCCCGGCGCGGCCCCACCCGCGGCCCGCGGTGCCGGCGGCGGCCATGCTGCGGCCCAAGGCCCTGACGCAGGTGCTGAGCCAGGCCAACACCGGCGGCGTCCAGAGCACGCTGTGAGTGCGGGGAGCCGGGCGGGGGGCGGCTCTCCCCGGCGGGCACTGCGGGGAGATGCTTTCCCCGCCCGTAATGCTTCCCTCGTACCTAGCCCGGCAGATGCTGCCGCTGTCCGTGCCCCCGGGGATGCTGCCTCCCCCTTGTTCCTGCCCCAGACCACGTCCCTGCACTTGCCTCGGCCATGCTGTCCCTGTCCCTAGCCCAGGGATGCTGCCTGCCCCTGTCCCTGCAGCGGGGGATGCTCCCTGCTCCTGCCCTGGGAATGCTGCTCCAGCCCAAGGATGCTGCCTGCCTTTCCCCAGCCCCTGCTCTTACCCCTGCTCCTACCCCTGCCCAGGGATGCTCCTTGCCCTTGCCCCTGCCTGGGGATGCTCCTTGCCCTTGCCCCTGCCCAGGGATGCTCCTTGCCCCTGCCCCTGCCCAGGGATGCTCCTTGCCCTTGCCCCTGCCCGGGGATGCTCCTTGCCCTTGCCTCTGCCTGGGGATGCTCCTTGCCCCTGCTCCTGCCTGGGGATGTTCCTTGCCCTTGCTTCTGCCCCTGCCCGGGGATGCTCCTTGCCCTTGCCCCTGCCTGGGGATGCTCCTTGCCCCTGCTCCTGCCTGGGGATGTTCCTTGCCCTTGCTTCTGCCCCTGCCTGGGGATGCTCCCTGTCCCTGCCTGAGGAAGGCGAAGGGGCCGGGCCCTTCCAGGGGCATCCGTGGGACTGAAACCACACACCCCGCACAGTGCTGAGCTACAGACGGTGCTGGCACTGTGCACAGTGTGTGGGGCCGGGGCCTTGCACCGTTCCTGATGTCTGGTGCTGGGATGCCTCGTGCACAGTGCAAGGGCCGTGCACATTGCTGGGGCTGTGCAGTGTTTGTCCCCCTCATGCCCAGCCTGTGGCAGGTCCCACTGCTTCAACAGACAGATACACCACAGCCCTACACTGCCCTGCTTGGGCCTGGGGACATTGCAGAGCTTTCTGGCTTTGAAGCTTCCCCACCCCCTGCCAAAGCCCTGCAGAGTGGGAGTGTTGTGGGAGCAGTGCTTGGGACTGGGTGGGGGGTTTGCTCTACCCCTGGTATTGAGAGGGTCTGGTTTGCCCTACCATGTCCTTCCCAGGCTGCTGAACAACGAGGGGTCCTTGCTTGCCTACTCGGGCTATGGGGACACCGATGCCAGAGTCACTGCGGCCATCGCCAGCAACATCTGGGTGGCCTACGACAAGAATGGGCACCAGGCGTTCAATGAGGACAACCTCAAATTCATCCTCATGGACTGCATGGTATGTGGGGCTGGAGCCTGCCCTGCCCTCCCTGGGCACGTGGCTGTGGTGCCAGGATCGTGCTGGGGGTCCAGGCCAAGCTGGGGTGCCACAGGTGCTGTTTCTCCCCGGGCAGGAGGGGCGAGTGGCCATCACACGGGTGGCAAACCTGCTGCTCTGCATGTACGCCAAGGAGACGGTCGGATTTGGGATGCTGAAAGCCAAGGTAATGGCTGGGGTGTCGGCAGGGCTGCATCCTTGCTTGGTGTGGGAAAGAGCTGCTGAAGAGGATTGGGATGGAAGGGCTGGAGGAAGCTGCTGTGTCTGGGACTCTCTTTGCACCTTGCAGGGACTCCTCTGTCCGCTGTGCTTGCCCAGGCACCCCATCACACCTTTTTATGGTCCTAAACTGAAATACAAATTACAATAAGCAAGTGGGCAGTGGGCACACGTGTTGCAAAACCCACCTGAGCGTGGCTCATGCCATTCTCTGCTTGCAGGCACAGGCACTGGTGCAGTACCTGGAGGAGCCACTCACGCAGGTGGCTGCATCGTGAGCAGGCACTGGAGGGCTCTGAGGTGCCACTGGGCTCCAGCACCATCACCATCACCATCACCGCCGTGGGTTGGGCGTGAGCGGCCCCACGGGCATCCCGGAGCTCTAGTGAGGTCTTAAAAACACAATGGCAGGAATCCAGAAGCTGGGGGGAATAAAAGTGTGTTTGATGCTTGTGTCCGTTGTGTCTGTTGTTGGGGGAGCTGAGGGGTAACACAGCCTGACTGGGCTGGAGGTGCCCATTGCCCTGGGGAAAAACAACAAGTTGCAAGGGGCTGTTGTCAAAGGAGAGGGGTTATGAGAGAGCGGAGCCCCTACACAGCCCTGCTGGTCACACTGGGGGTGCTGGGGGCTCCTTGCCATCCCTATTTCCTTGGCTTTCACACGATGGCAGCAGAGGCGAGGGAACATTTACAGCTGCGGGAGCCGGGCTGAGCGGCGGTTCTGCTCCTGGCAGGGCTGAGCTCGCTGCCGTCCCACCCCGCGGTGCCCTGCTCTGCCCGGTGTGCCCGTGATGCCCTCGCTGTCCTGCCCGGCACCCCTCCCTGCCCACGCTGCCCATCCTGTCGGTGCTGCCCTCGCTGCCCCAGCCTACCCCGCACTCAGATCAGCCCTGGCTCCTCCTCCGGCCGCCCCGTGACGGTCCCAGGGGTGCCACTACCTGCCCGACCTGCGCTGCGACACCCGGTCCCACCCCTCGAGGAGCGCCGCGCTGTCGCCAGCTCGGCCTCGCCGCCGTCCCGGACCCTCCGCTGCCCCGAGCCCCTCTCTCCGCTCGCTGCCCGGCACAGAGGAACTTCGGTGGCTCCGTCTCCTCCCCCGGGAGCCCGGCCCGCCCCGCCGGTGCTCGGGCTCGGCAGCGGCACGGAGGAAACCCGGGCCGGCCCTGCGAGGGCAGGCGGCGGCCGCGGCGACATGGGCAGCGCCGAGGAGGACTACAACTTTGTGTTCAAGGGTGAGTCCTGCGCTCCATGCCAGCCCTGCCCTTCCCCAAAAGGAGCGGAGCAGAATCCAGAGGCTGCGGGGAGGGCACAAGGGTGCGCGTTCCCCAGGGCGCTGTGTCCTGAGCTGGCACGTTTTTGGTTATCCCCGCAGCTGTGACGGGCACCGGGAGCTACGGAAGGTGAGGGGACTGGGGGCCAGGCACGGTCCGCTGACAGCAGTGAGGCCAGCCAGGGCTGTGAGCAGCAGCAAGGTCCACAGAGACCCACACTCACCCTAAGGCTGAAGGCATGCACTGCCAGGCAAATTGCTCTTACGGGGCTGTGAAAGCTGGGGCTGAGCGTGTGAGACAAATGCCACGAGATCCTGCAACCCCCGAGAGCAGTGGGCATTGAGAAGTCACTTGCTGCAGTGACCTGGGCAGTGGCACATGCAGAGGACCTGGGAATCAAAGCTGAGCTGGAGAAATGGGGGCACAGCCTCACACTTCCCATGCTGAGCTCCTTGGGCCCACCTGGTCTTTGCCAGGTACTATTGGCTGGACTCTGCTGGAGCTCAGTGCTCCCTCTGGGCAAGTGGAGACAGAGAGGCTCTGGTTTGCCAGCTGTCCTGGGTGCCCACTGACCCAGGGCTCACCAACATCCTTGCCCTGCTCCTGCTGCCCAGAGGCTGATGAGCCCCCTGACCAGCTCTGGGGTTACACCAGCAGTAGGGAGCACAGCTGGGCTGAAGGAGTTAAACACACCAGGGGTTAAACCCACACAGCTGCCCAGCCTCTGCAACCAGTCTGGGGTCACTGGACAGCGAGCAATGCTCATGCAACCAGTGCTGGTAGCTGGGGCAGTCCAGTGGGATTTCTCCTTCCTTCCACAGTTGTCCTGATCGGGGAGTCTGGGGTGGGAAAAACAAACCTGCTCTCTCGTTTTACCCGCAACGAGTTCAACCACGACAGCCGCACCACCATCGGCGTGGAGTTCTCCACGCGCACAATCCTGGTGGGAGACGCCGTGGTGAAGGCTCAGATCTGGGACACGGCCGGGCTGGAGCGGTACCGCGCCATCACCTCAGCGTAAGGATGGGAGGCCTCACATCCCTGCCTCCCCTGGGGCTTGGGCTCAGCCCCATGGGGAGGAAGCTGTGGGGAGCTGGAGCATGGAATAATAGCGGGGTTCTGTCACAGGTATTACCGGGGGGCTGTGGGTGCCCTGGTGGTGTTTGATATCACCAAGCACCAGACATACGATGTGGTGGACCGCTGGCTGAAGGAGCTCTACGACCATGCCGAGGCCAGCATCGTTGTCATGCTGGTGGGGAACAAGACTGACCTTGCACAGGCTCGAGAGGTGCCCATGGAAGAGGCAAAAATGTTTGCAGGTACAGGCTGGCGCTCCGCCACAGGGCTGGGGGATTAATAACCTCCCCAACAACACGGACCTGCACCAGTGCAGGTACCTGAACATCTCTAAAGGTGCTCCAGAGTGGAGCCATGTCCTCATCTCAGGGATCTTCTCTCCTTGCAGACAACAATGGGCTGCTGTTCGTCGAGACCTCGGCGCTGGACTCCACCAACGTTGAGGAAGCATTCGAGACCATCCTGAAGGGTACAGGCACTGGTGCTGTGGTGCAGCAGCTCCAGGGCATTGCAGGGTCCCTTTCCCAGGGATGCAGGGCTGGGCAGATGATGTGCAGCACTTCTCTCCCTGCTCCACTTGAGCTATTTGGGGCCAGTTTCATGAGGTCTTTTGGTATTGTCTTTCTGGCTGCTTTGGTTTTCAGCCTTTGGTGCTGGGCGTTTCACTCCCCACACCCAGAGCTTTGTTCTCAGGGCCCCTGGGCATCCCTGAAGCCCCAGGGGCTGCTTCTCCCCCGTAATCTCCAGTCTCCTTCCTGTTGTCTTGGGCTCATGACTTGGTGTCTCCAGCATCCTGCCAAACCGGCTGTGGGGACCTGGGGGGCCAGGGACTGAGTCCAAGAGCAGCTCTCCAGGAATGGCAGCCAGCAGCATCGGGGCAGCGAGGTGTGCCATGCCGTGCTGAGCCGTGCCAAGCCATGCAGTGCTGTTCCATGCCATGCCATGCTGTGCTGAGCCGTGCCAAGCCATGCGGTGCTGTTCCATGCCATGCTGTGCAGTGCTGCGCTGCCCCAGCCTGGCCCAGCGAGCTGCCAGCCCCAGCACAGGGTGAAGCACTAATCCCAGGTTGGGCAAGAGGAAATGGGCCGAGCACAGGGTGTTCCCCAAGCGCCTCAGGGATGCACGCCTTGTCCCTTGTCACCCCTCAAGTCACCTCTCCGCTGCGTAGAGGCAAAGGAGAGCCACCAGCACTGAGCAGTGGGGGCTGCAGGCTTGAAGCTGTCCCTGCATCCTCGGGGGGCCTTGGCTGACACATGGAATCCCTGGCACTTCTTTTGCAGAAATCTTCTACAAAGTGCAGAAGCAGAAGCAGAGGAGCAGCCAAAGCAACACGGTGTCACTTGCAAGTGAGAGCCCTGCAAGCACAGCCCCAGTGCAGGCGGAGAGGCGCCCGTGCTGCGTGCCCCTCTGAGCCTGCTGGGCACCCCGGGAAGTCCCCAGGGAACCCCACAACGCCAGGACACACCAGTGGCCACCAGCACAGGCTGGTGTCACCCTGCCTGCAGTGCCACCCCTGTCCTGGTGCGGTGGGGACCAGCAGTCTGGACAGGGGCCAAATTCTGCCATAAACAGTGAGATGCACCAGTTCCAGGGGCTCTTCTCTCTCTGTTTCATTTTTGCTGGGCCCTGATTAGCATCACCACTGTCACGCACCGTATCAGCCCTCTGGACCTGCAGGGCAAAATGACCAGGACACCCCTGAAGCACGTCTGGGGAAGAAGCCAGTAGGTTCTGGGCAGGATCGTGCCAGCAGCAGGAGCCTCTCTGATTCCCTCTGGCCCTGGGGTTGGTGCTGTAGGGCCACCCTGTGCCTGCACTGAGGATGAGGCTGACCAGCAGGTGTCTGTCCCACCAGGGACTGCTCTAGGGGTGAAGTGGCAGCACTCAGCCCTTGGCTGTCCCGGCAGGGCCCGGTGCCATGGGGCCAGGAGCAGGTCTGTGTCCAGCACGGGCGTGACGCAATCATTAAAGGACTTGTGAAATGCAGCTTTACTGAGCTGGAATTCCTGCGTGTTTGTGGTCCACGCCCTGGGTCCCCACCTTCATAATGTGCTGAGAATCACAGCCTCCAAAGCCACCCGGCTGGATGCCACCACTCCCCTGTGCCCCCTCCTACCCCGATGCCATAGCCCCCCTGCACTCCCTCCCACCCTAAAGCCGTGCTCCCCCTGTGCCCCCTCCCACCCTAAAGCCGTGCTCCCCCTGCACTCCCTCCCACCCTAAAGCCGTGCTCCCCCTGTGCCCCCTCTCACCCTAAAGCCGTGCTTCCCCTGTGCCCCCTCCCACCCTAAAGCCGTGCTCCCCCTGTGCCCCCTCCCACCCTAAAGCCGTGTTCCCCTCCCACCCTAAAGCCGTGCTCCCCTGTGCCCCCTCCCACCCTAAAGCCGCGCTCCCCCTGCGCCCCCTCTCACCCTAAAGCCGTGCTCCCCCTGTGCCCCCTCCCACCCTGGAGCCAGGCTCGTCCTGTGCCCCCTCCCACCCTAAAGCCGTGCTCCCCCTGTGCCTCCTCCCACCCTAAAGCCGTGCTCCCCCTGTGCCCCCTCCCACCCTAAAGCCGCGCTCCCCCTGTGCCCCCTCCCACCCTAAAGCCGTGTTCCCCGTGCCCCCTCCCACCCTAAAGCCGTGCTCCCCCTGTGCCTCCTCCCACCCTAAAGCCGCGCTCCCCCTGTGCCCCCTCCCACCCTAAAGCCGTGCTCCCCCTGTGCCCCCTCCCACCCTAAAGCCGTGCTCCCCCTATGCCCCCTCCCACCCTAAAGCCGCGCTCCCCCTGTGCCCCCTCCCCATGGGACCTTTCCCAGTTTAGTTCCCCTGTTTGAACTTTATCACTTCCAGCAATGACACCGCCCCTGGTTATCTGAAACCCGCGTGGAACGGGTGATTCCTGCTGGATTCTCGCTTCTGCACTCCCTTTCCCTCTGCCCTTCTGGCCGTGCCAGCCCAGCTCCGTGTCACACCCACGGCTCTGCGTGGGACGCGCTGTCCCCATCAGGAGCGCACCCGGGGGTGGCCCGTCCCTGCCCCCCTTACCTGGCCAGGTGAGCACACCTGAGTGTGACGGGCAGCCCCGGGCGCCAATGGGTGCGGAGCAGGAAGGGCCGTGGCACCAATGGGTGCCGGGGGACAGGGACAGCCCCTGGCCGGGCTGGGCACGGCCCGGAAATCCCAGTTGGATTTCCCAGCGGGAGCGGGGCTGTGGGGCCGGGAGAGATGCGGGGCAAGGACGATGAGTACGATTATCTCTTCAAAGGTGGGTCTGCTGCCCGGGGTCAGCCTGGCAGGGCGTGGCACTGGGCACCCGGGGCTTGTACTGGGATAGAACACGCAATTCCCAGTAGGAATTTCCACCCAGGAGGGGGGGCTTGCTGTGCTGGGAAGGGGTGCTGAGGCTGAGGTGGTCGGGGGTTCGCTGGAGCTGCTCTGATGGTTTTGGTCCCATTCTCGTTACAGCCCCTCAGAGCGTGGTGCCCCCGAGGGTGGCTGTGCCCACGGCAGGCTGCTGGGGAAGGCTGGTCCGTGGGACTCTGTGGGTGCCGTGTTGGCCCCTGAGCACCCGTGGGTGCTCTGCTCTGCGGCACTGGGTGAAGGGGGCACGTCTGAGAGCTGAGTAACCTCCCCCAGGAGAGAAAGCCATGCTGCTGCCCAGCATCCAGGAATCAGGGCTTGTCCTTGCTGGTGCTGGTCATGCTGTGACCTCACTGCTGTGCCCGGTGAGGGACAGGGACAGGCTCTTGGAGACGCGGCGTTGGCATTTCTGGAGCCCAGCATCCCCACGAAGCAGCCCCATCCCTGTGCGTGCCAGGCTTCCCTGCGGGCTGCTGCGGCCAAAGCAGGTGCTGGGGAAGCAAAGGGGCATCTTGGCAATGCCACAGCCTCCTGAGCTGTAAAATCCAGGCTGTGAGCTCACCGGTGGGTGGCTGTGAGTCAGCCTACCCACACGGGCCTGCCCGCCAGGCCCCGAGTAATTCTAGCCACCGACAGGACGTAATTCCAGCCAGCCATGTGCTGGTAGCCCCTGGCTCCTTGCACACCTCCCCTGGCTGCTGCCCAGGAAAATCCTCCTCCCTGGAGTTACTCTGGTGTGGGGGAAACTCTGATGATGCTGAGTGGTGCCTTGAGCAGGATGCCCAGGCAGGAGCTCTCCCAGCTGCCCTGTTCTGCACTTCCCACCCGGTGCTGTGGCTCTGAGGGGGCTTCAGCTCATGGTCCTCCTGTGTCTGACCATCCCCTGTCATTCTGCAGGAGCCAGCGCTGGGAGCAGCTCAGCACAGGCTCTTCATTCCCCTCCTGGGTCTCACGGTGGTCTCTGGAATGCTTAAAAAAATAGAACTCAGTTTTCAATGCAAGGGCAGCTCATGCCTTCCAGAGCAGGAGCAAAGTCGAAGGGGCATGGAGCTGGGCTAGTACCCCCAGGGTCCAGCAGCTGTGAGCTCAGCCTCCCCCCTGAGGAAAGGGAGATTGTCACAGCTGGAAGCAGCGTTATCCCGACTTCCAGTGAAGTGGGAGCAAAGCACAAAGCCCTTGTTCCAGCTGTGCAAGGCCCCTGCACTGCTGGAGGGGCTCAGGATGGCTGAGGAGCAGCTCTGGGCATGGCTGCTCCTCAGACCTGTCCTTGGGGCCCTGTGTGGAGCTCCAGGCTGTTTCCTACACTGAGATGTGTGCTGAGGGTGTTTGAGGCAGTGAGGACAAAACGTGTCAAATGCTTTTGTGCCTGGGGTGGGGGTGCTGCTGGAGCCACTCAAGCTCAGGGACATGAGGCTCATCACCCCCAGAGGCTGCAGCACCATGCACCACCCACCCTGCATCCCCAGTGTGGTACAAATTCCTCTGATGCCTGCCATGGAACATGGCACTGCCAGGGCAGGGGGATTGTGGCAGTTGAGCTGGGGAAGCAGCAATTTCCTGTTGGTAAAAAACCGAGCTCACATCAAAACTTGGAAGCTGGGAAAGTGATAACGAACCTGGCCTGCATTTCCTACTGCCTTGTCCAGGGTAGTCCAGGCTGCTTGGTCCTCTCAGACCTCCCTGGGGTGGGCAGCAGCTGAGAAGTCTCGCCAGCAGCTGGGCAAAGGGGGGATTCTGCCCCTCTGTGAGACCCCCCTGCAGAGCTGCCTCCAGCTCGGGGACCCCCAGCACAGGAAAGCTCCTCGAAGAAATCAAGGAGGCCACAGAGATGCTCCAAGGGCTGGAGCCAGGCTGGGAGAGCTGGGGATGCTCAGGCTGCAGAAGAAAAGGCTCTGGGGAAACCTCAGAGCCCCTTCCAGTGCCTAAAGGGCTCCAAGGGAGTGAAGAGGGACTTTGGAAAAGGAGGAATGGCTTCCCACTGCCAGAGGACAGGGTTAGATGGGATATTGGGAAGGAATTGTTCCTTGTCACAGGTGTCCAGAGAAGCTGTGGCTGCCCCATCCCTGGAAGAGTTCAAGGCCAGGTTGGACAGGGCTTGGATCAACCTGGGACAGTGGAAGGGGGTTGGGATGAGATGGGCTTTAGGGTCCCATCCACCCAAACCATTCTGTGAAGGTGTGGAGGAGCTGCCCTTCCCTCGTTTCCTGGCTGTCCTGACACAGTGACTGCTCACCACGCTCTGGAGCCTTCCAGCTTCCCTCGGTGATCCCAGAGAGCTGTTCCAGTTCCTGCTGGGCCTCCTGGCACCGGGCTGCTTGGTGGCTGCCCTGCTCTGAGGGTTTTGCCAGCGGGGTGGCTGCACTGTTGGAGGCTTTGTACCATGCAGGGGAGCCATGTCTACGAGCTGGAGCTGGTGGGAAGGAGTTTCCAGGACGTGGAGCAGCATCCCTGCAGGGTGGTGGCTGCTGAGCCTTGGCTGAGTGTGGCAGTGCCTTGCTGAGGCTCTGGCAGTGTGTGGCATCCCAGTGGCCCCTTGGTGCTGCTGTTCCTGTGTCCTGCCCACCGTGGTCACCGGTGGTGTTGTCCAAACCTGGTGGGGAGGCATGTCCCACAGGTGGGTGAAGTGTCTGAGTACAGCTGGGGAATGAATAGGAATGAAGGAATTAAAAATAATTTTAAAAATAGAACCAAAAACCTGTTGAGTCATAAACTCAACAAACTTGACTGGGGAGGTGTTGATAAAGCTCCCAAGAGCTTGTTTCACCAGGTTTTACAGGAACCAGACAGATCTGGGGCAGGCACAAAATGCATTTAACCCACACCCAGGGACTTCCCTGCTCTGCAGCCACAGAGGAGGATGCTTCCTTTCAAACCGTGTCTTTAAGTCCTCCAGTGTGCCCTCAGGGCTGGAGGGCACACAGGGCTGTCAAGAGGTGCCCCAGCTCTGCCTGGCCTCTGGCCTGGCTCTCCCTGCATGGGTCCTGCCCCTGCTTTTCTGCCCATTTTGGGTATATCAATGCATATGGTGCTTCCCCATCCCCAGGGATGAAGACTTCTGCTAACTTCCCGGTGATGGCAGGGATTTTCTCAAGGGTATTCCCAGTCAGTGATGCTGCTGGGAGGAGGGGAGGCAGCTGGCCCTGCTCTGCTTCACCCCTCATCTGTCAGCTCCTGCTGGATGAGATGGAGGTGGGCTCTGGGCGGATGGGGAGGTTCCCATCCCTGCCAGGCTGTGGGGTGGGTGCCTTTCCTGGTGGCTGGGGGAGCTGACACCGTATTTGTGCCCACCAGTCGTGCTCATCGGGGACTCAGGGGTGGGCAAGAGCAACCTGCTCTCACGCTTCACCCGCAACGAGTTCAACCTGGAGAGCAAGAGCACCATCGGCGTGGAGTTTGCCACCAGGAGCATCCAGGTGGACAACAAGACGGTGAAGGCTCAGATCTGGGACACAGCCGGGCAGGAGCGCTACCGGGCCATCACCTCAGCGTGAGTTTCCTGCTGCCAAGCCCTCCCTCACCCGGGGCCCTGCTGTGAGCCTGTCCCCTGTGTGTCCCCCACCCTCCCCTGGGGCCCTGCTGTGACCCTGTCCCCTGTGTGTCCCCCACCCTCACCTGGGGCCCTGCTGTGACCCCGTCCCCTGTGTGTCCCCCTCCCTCCCCTGGGGCCCTGCTGTGACCCTGTCCCCTCTCTGTCCCCCTCCCTCGCCTGGGCCCTGCTGTGACCCTGTCCCCTGTGTCCCCCTCCCTCGCCTGGGGCCCTGCTGTGACCCTGTCCCCTCTCTGTCCCCCACCCTCGCCTGGGGCCCTGCTGTGACCCTGTCCCCTCTCTGTCCCCCACCCTCGCCTGGAGCCCTGCTGTGACCCTGTCCCCTCTCTGTCCCCCACCCTCGCCAGGGGCCCTGCTGTGACCCTGTCCCCTCTCTGTCCCCCAGCTACTACCGAGGGGCAGTGGGAGCTCTGCTGGTCTATGACATCGCCAAGTACCTGACATATGAGAACGCAGAGCGCTGGCTGAAGGAGCTGCAGGACCACGCTGATGCCAACATTGTCATCATGCTGGTGGGCAACAAGAGTGACCTGCGGCACCTGCGGGCAGTGCCCACCGACGAGGCCAGGAGCTTTGCAGGTATCTCCCCCCATCCTGGCCAGTCCCTTCCCATCTGCCTGGAGCTCGTGGCACCCACCTGAGCTCACGCTGTTCTTGCAGAGAAGAATGGGCTGTCCTTCCTTGAGACTTCTGCCCTGGATTCCACCAACGTGGAGACAGCTTTCCACAACATCCTCTCGGGTAAGGGGCAGCCAGGAAAGGGGGGGACGGGAGGAGAGGTGGCTTTGGGGGCCTGGCTGTACTGGGTGGGATCTGGGTTGGAATCCTGCTGCCCTGGATGGGGAGAGGTGGGCATTTGCCCCCCTGGATGGGGAGAGGTGGGCATTTGCCCCCCTGGATGGGGAGAGGTGGGCATTTGCCCTCCTGGATGGGGAGAGGTGGGCATTTTCCCCCCTGGATCTGTGTGTTTGTAGAGGGAGCAGATTCCCCACTGAAACACGTACCTAAAGAAGGTTTTCACTTCTCCTCTCTCTGCTGGCAGAGATCTACCGCATCGTGTCCCAGAGGCAGATCACGGGCCAGGCGGAGTCGGAGTTTGGCCCCTCCAGCACCATCGAGCCCATCCAGGTGCTGCCCACGCAGCAGGAGGGCCGGCAGGCGCCCTGCTGCCAGAACATCTGAGTCCCTGGGGTGCCCCCACCGTGACCCCCCGGCAGCCAGCCCATGGTGGCATCGTGTGTCTCCCTCAGCCTGCACCTCTGCCCACCAGCTCTCCGAGCAGTGCAGCGAGCTCTGGCTGCTTTTGTGTGCACCAGCATCCTGCCCAAGTGCTGCTCTGCCTGTCTTCATGTAGCACAACAAAACCGGGGGGAGGCAAAGCAAAGCATCAGGGTGTCTCCCCTCTGCCCCCGAGGCTGGGGGCATGCCACCCCCTCTGTCCCTGCTCCCTTTGGCCCTGCAGGCACAGTTCTGGGTGACTGGGTGGCTCTGAACAAGCCCAGCGTGGTGAGTCCCTGCTGGGTGACGCCCTGAGTGCAGCCCCGTGGCGTGGGTGTGGAGGGGGACACTGGGTGCATCCTTCTCCCACCTGGTGGTGCCCAGCCCTGTCCCTGCAGCACCTCTGGGTGCTGCTGGGGCCATCCAGGGAGGGGTGTGGGGGTGACACTGGTTTTGTGTTGTGACCCCCTCCCTGTGGCATGACCCCAGCAAAGGGCAAAGCTGTGACTCTGCCGTGGAAAAAGATGGGAGCAGGGATTTGAGGTCTTGGCCTTTGGGAAGCCCTGAGGAGGGGACAAGGGGGCAGCAGGGATTTGGGGGCTGAGGGCAGGGATGAGGTGCTGAGGGTAGACACATGGTCCCTCTGCACAGCTCCCTGTGTGGGAGCCAGTGGCAGCACTGGGGACCCCCTCGAGGTCCCCCTGGCATAGCTCAGCCCTTCCCTGCTCGAGTGTTGGCCACTGTGGCTGGTGGCTGGTGGCCCAGCCTGGGACATGCCACCACTGGCTGGAGCGCCTGCAGCAGCAGCAGGGTGACAGTGGCCTTGTCCCCACCCCGCAAGGTGGGCATCACCCAGGGTAGGGACAGACTGTGCTGAGCCCCGAGCTGCTGTTGGGGTGATTGGCAGCTGTCAGTCAAGTGGGAAGGCCGGAATTGACCCAGAACTGGGAATGTGGCCCCTGTCGTGTGGGGTTTTGGGGGATCTCTCTCTCCACATCTCCCCCAGTCTCTGCATCTCACTTGGTTGTGCCAGTAGGGTCTGGGCCATGGTTCCCCCTTGGGGCATGATTTGTTGATGGAACAGAAATTGAGGCAAAATCCCCAAATAAAGCTGCTGTTGAAGCCTTTCCTCTCTCTGCCAGATCTCTCCTTGAGGCAAGAGCAGTGCCAGCCCCTCATGGGGCAGCTGGGAAGCATCCACAGGCAATGAAGGGTGAGGAGGAGGAGGAGGAGGGCTGTAACCTGGGCAAGGGGATGTCCTGCTGGGAGACCAGAGAGGAAAGCTTGAAATTCAGGATTAGAAGAACAGGTGGGAGCCTGCTGCTGGCCCGGGGCAGTGCAGGGATGCACAAACAGGGTGCAGAAGCAGCCACACCATATGGATGCCCCTTTTTCTCCACCCACTGCACCACCCCAGTCCTGCAGCACCTTAACCTTGGCTCCAGCCCCTTGGCACTGTGTCCCTGCCCCCTCCAGAGGCAGACTCATCCCTGAGCTGGCCAGACCCATTCTGGGTCTGGCTGCAGCTGGGGGCTGTCCCCAGGTGAATGGTGGCCCCTGCCCCACAGGCTGCACTTCACCCCCTGCCCACCTCAGCTGGAAAAGCCCTGGAAAGGTGCAGGAGCTGCCAAGCACCACCTCCTCCCACACCATCTGCCCACAGCAAAACGGTGCCAGGAGTGATGTCAGCCCCAGCAGCTGGGGAGGTGGGCATGTGGGGGATGGATGCTGCTCCACGAAGGGACAGGGCTGAGCCAAGTGTGTCTGGGGCCTCGCTGACATTGGATATGCCATCAGCCAGGTCATTCAGACTCACTGAGGCACTTCTGGGCTCCACAACTCAGTTCTGTTCCAGGCTTTCCAGTTTTTGGGTGTTTTCTGCTGGGATGAAGAAGTGGGAAGGGTGAAATGTGGCGCAGGGTGGCTCACAGCTGTGGGACCCGCTGGCCCCAGCTCTGGGAGAAGCAACTGCCTCAGGAGGCTCATCAGCCCACAGGTGCTTTAATGAAGCCCAGGAGTGCTGCCAAAAGCAGGTGAGCAGTGGGAGACGCAGGAGGGGTGGCAGGGGGAGGTCCAGCCCCACTGCCCTGGAACTCAGCCCAGCAGGGCCTTGTTCTCAACCACTGCACCTGCCCCTTCCTAAAGTATGAACAGACACAAATCAAGAGCAGAAACCAAGTTTCTTAAGTAATAATACTTTAATAAAATTAAGTTCTTAATGTAATTTAGCACATTTAATACATTAACCCTTTCCCTTCTTTGTTTTCTACAAGTTGTGCAACATCATTATTTTAATTTTATTTTATTTTAATTTTTTTTTTCCTTCTCCCATTATACTATATGCCTCAAAACTCAGACAACAAGCCTAACTCTACTTCTATGTTCGGTTATATCTCTCTCTCAGGCCTTTATTTTTGTGTAACACCAGAGAGATGAAAATACCTGGATGGAACATGTGATCGGTTTCCAATAGTAACAATCCCGACTACAGGTTTCCTATGATGTTAAAAGAAAAGAGGAAAAAAACACAAACTAATAGGAAATGGACTTTCAATGGAAGGGCCACAGAGTGGGTGACTCCGTGGCCAGCTGGCTCAGCATGAGGTGGGAGAACCGCGGGGCAGGACGGTGCCCAGGGCGAGGGAGGGTGGATGGCACCAACCTGTGCATCAGTCAGCCAAGGTGATGCTGTGCAAGCAAAGCCATGAAGGGCTGTGCTGGGGAGGGCTGGGCTGCCCTGAGTGTCGCTGAGCTCAGCTGCTGCAGGGACCCCGGCCTGGGCTTTGTTTTAGCACGTCTCATGTGGGAAATGCCACTGGAGCTGCTCTGCCCGAGTCCCAGCGGCAGCACCCACAGCCTGGGTCTCTCTGATACCAGGGCAGAGCCGGAGGAAGTCCTCTGCAGCAGCAGAGCGCTGCTCTGGGCATCCCTGGGGATTTCCTTGGCTTGCCTGGGGCTGAGATCAGAGCCGGCTGTCAGCCCTCTGCCCACTGCCTTTCAGGTTTGCTTAACACTGCTTTCTAACTCAGGAGCAAATCCCATACTGCAAAACAGGATCCAGCCCCTGGTCTTCTTTTCCCCCTTTTTTTTTATGATTATCTTGAACAGAATTCATAAAGAAAAAGGAAAAAAAGAATGCTGATGGTTTCACAGATAAGCAAAACAGCCTGTGACCATGTCTTGTGTCCCAGCTGCTGGGAGCCAAGAGCAGATCTCAAAGGCCACACCACACTGCTACATCTCACCGCTCCGTTTCTCTGCAAGTTGTTTCAAAAGCATCATCATCAGCCCAGAAAGCACATCCTGCTGTCAGTAACCCGGTGCCACCATTGGAGGGGGACTTCATTTTCGCACAGACAGTAGTGGAACTACTCCAGATTTTACATTAGTGTCACTTTACTGGGGGTGACTTTCAATTTGCTCCATTAGCAGCCCTGAAGCGATGCTGGAGCAGATCCAGCAGGGAGGGATGCTGCAGCCTGCCAGGGCTGCAGTGACTCCAGATTCCAGCAGAGTAACCCACTGGAACAGGGGAGTCACAGGGAGGGAGGCAGGAGCTGCCCAACCTCTGCTGGCTCCTGCTGGCACAGCACAGACAAAGCAAAGTCTGCCTAGCACAATTCCAGCTGGATTTTTCACTGGGTTCTGACAGCAGAACATGACTTCAAGTTCCTACAGGATGTGAAAACCCACACTAAAACACAGAGATTGCTCCCTAACATCCTATAAAGGGTTTTGGAAGAACCAGCCCATGCTGGCTCTGCTGCCACAAGGACACCTCGCTGGGGCTCGGATGGGTACACAGGTGACGATAAAGTGCATCCACCTCCAGTCCAGGGCACCACTGTACAATGTCCACCACTGACGCTTCTTCAAGTATCAAATAAAAAAATGAGGTAAAACAAAACTGAAAGAGCAAACAGGCTGCCCCGCCGCCCCGGCAAGAAGGACCAGGCTTGATTCACCGAGCATGAACCCCCCTGGAAGGGCAGGAGACATTGTGCCCTGCTTCCCAAAACGCCCCAGCACGCCAGGAGGGTCCCGGGGAGGGATCTCAGATTCACAGTGCTATTTATACGCAGAAACCGAATGAGAACTGTCTTCATTCCTGTCCTGACCTATTGCATGGCTTTGCTGAGTGATGAATGCTGGTAAAGGCCACCCCAGCCCCCCGAGGCAGGCAGGGAGCGAGGGGTGGCCCCCGTGCTCCTGGAAGGCATCGGTGTGGATGCTCCCAAGCTGCAGGAGATCCGTGGGTTTGCTACAGCTGAGCCACAACTCAGAGGAGAGGAGCAAAGGCTAAACCCAGAGGGAAGCAACTTTCAAGGGTGTTTTCTTCACGGCACTCGGCTTTGCTAATGACAACCTTGCCCCTTGGATGTTTCTTTCTGAGTCCTCTCCTTTAAGCAGAGATTTTGGTGCAGTGAAAAGCATCACCAGAACTCCAGAGAGAAGTGCTGGCCTCTCTCTGGAACGAGTGGAGCAGCTGGCAGGGGCATGGGCCACGTCCTGCCCCAGTGCTGGTGCCAGGGCTGTGCTGCCCTGCCCTGCAGTGCTCAGAGTGGCTCTGTCATCGCAGCACCAGCTCCAGGAGCCCTTGCTCGTGCTCTCGGCACTGCAGGGACTCAGGATCATCCATAGCCAACATGCTGTGCTGGCTAAGAACAGCCTTCAGCCTCCCCCGTGCTTCTGCAGCCAAACCCAGGCGTGTGCCACGAGTGTCACCGTCCCGTGAGCAGGACAGTGCCAGGGCAGCTGCCAGGAGGCAAAGCTGTGGGATCAGGGATGTCGTGGCTGCAAAAAGGCCCTCTGGGGCCAGCAGAGGCTTTTCCAGACATCTCACCCGCAGCTCCAATGCTCAACGCTGATGTTTGGAGGCCGAACAAAGAAACACCCAACAAACCAAATCTCCTGGAAGATGCCACGTGCTAAACAAGCGAGCTCATCTCGAGGTGCACAGCATGTGAGAGAGAACCAAGAAAAAGAAAGAAAACAAAGAGGGAACAAACCAACCCTAATGCCCTGACACTGCCCAGTGCAAGGGCAGAGCCTCCGCCTGGCACCTCGCTGCCCTCGAGCTCTGTCCGTCACCTTACAGAGGGGAGATCACCCAATCTGCCTTTCCTTCTCCTTCCCACCTGGGATGGTCCCACCTGCCCATCCCAGGATCTTCCCACACCTTTGGTGCTTGGAGAAGTTCAAAAACCAAGAACAGCCCAAGGAAAGTAACAGCAACTTGGAACATTTTTCTGCAATTTCCTGCTCCAAGCCCAAGGCTAGAAGTCAGAATAAGGCAAAAAATTAATGGCCTAAAACTTCCTTATTTTGTTCCATGACTAGCCAAATCTGTCTATTTTTATTAAAAAAGCAACATAAACCCCCAAACGTATCTTTTTAAAAAAATACATATTATTAGATCCCTTTTTTTTTTGTCTTTTTTTTCCCCTCTATAAAAATAACTTCAGGACTTTGATTGACAGAAGGTACCAGTTGGTGGTTGTTATTTTGTTAGGCTTTCGGTCATTTATTTGTTTGCTTCAGAAAAATAGTACCAAAAAAAGATGGAATTCCTGGGGAAGTTAACAATGATCATGTTCACAAGTTTATTTTACATTCTGCTCTGTCTGGGATCACTTGGATCTACTATAGATTAAACAATATGGATAGCATCTACTATTTGAACTAGTTAATTTTTTTTAATCTTTACTCTAGGATTATATGAAATAAATTTGAGTGTTTATTATTATTAACATTTTTTAATACCCATCAACGCAAACTTTTTTTTTTTTTCTCATTTTTGGTTAAAAACAAACAAACAGAAAAAAAAAATTCTTTAAAAATGCTTCTTTGAAAGGCAACAGAGCAGAAACATCACCCCGTCGTCCTGCTGCTTTGGGAGGGGGAGCAGGGCACGGGCTGGATTTGGGGTGTGACAGGGACAGACTTCCCCCACTCCCCAGCCCACAGGGAGGTGGTGGCTGCTCAGCAAACCCCTCGAGCAGCCCTGGGAGGAGATCCTGAAACACTTCAGGATGTGCTGGAGCTATGCTGAAGCGCTTTCCCGGATTCACAGAACTCAGAACCCATCCAGGGGCACTCTGCCATGGGTGCCCAGCAGGAGCTGTGCCCACACTGCCTCGGGGAGCAGAAGGGGTGACCTGTTCCCACCCAGCACGGGCTGGAGCTGGCTGGGAGCTCTGTAAGCTCAGCCCCTGGCTGGCCAAAGCACCACAAAAGGGCACGGCTCTGGTGTGGCACAAAGGAATGACCACGGATGTTCTAGAGATCCTGAAAACTGGCACCAAACCCTGCTGTCCCTGCAACCCGCCCAGCACAGGGAGAGACGGAACCAAAGCCTAAAGGGAGGCAACAGTGACCACCCAGAGCCCCTAAAACACGTCTGGCGGGCGTCTGGGCCAGCAGTGACCATCAGTCCTGCCCGGCCAGGCTGAGGAAAGGAACACAAATCCTGCAAGCAGATCAAGGCCAAAACTCTCTGGCTCCCCGGGATGGGATCAGGCTGGCAGTGCTGGCAGCAAGGAGGAGGAGGAGGGCAGGGAGCTGGGCAGTGCCAGCTCTGCCCTGCGAGCACACCGCTCTCCACAGCCCCTGTCCCAGGGAGCCCCAGCAGGAGGAAAATCTGTTCCCCGGGCGAGTGGGGTCGGCTCAGGGATGCTCAGGGTGCCCAGGGATGCTCAGGGTGCCCAGGGATGCTCAGGGTGCCCAGGGATGCCCAGGGTGCCCAGGAAGGGCTGTGCCACATCTTCCTCTGTGCCACAGCAGGGCCGGGGCTCGCCAGGGCCAGTGTGGGGTGATCCTGCCCAAAGACTGTCCCAGAACCAGCCCCGAGCCAAAACCCACCCAGACCTCGACCCTTTCCAAGGGGATTCCCAGATGGAGCAGCCACAGCATGGGGGCACAGGCTTGGGTTTATAGTGGTTTTTCTCTTCTACTTCTCTGTTTTTAATTACCTTTTTTTATCTTTTTTTTTTTTTGTTTAAATACATCCAACTGTGTTAATTTCTTATTTGCGGAAAGGGCTATCTGCACCATAACTATCACCTTTACATACACACACGCACACACGAAAAATGAAACATATATTAAAAACACTTTTTAAGCAATACTCTGGATACAAATGTATTTTTTAACCTACATATATTCTAAACCTTCTAAACTTTTAAGGATCACTTTATCATAAAATAAAATATCCTTTTTTCTTATAATAAATTACCTAATAAAAAGTATTTTTATTAGCCCAGTTCCTTGCTACATTTACATGTAATAAATGCATTTATTAAAATAGAATATTAAATTATAAAGAAATGTTCTAATTTTAAAATCTTAATCTTTTTTTCCCTCCTCTCTCTCTCTTTAAAAAACACCAGGAAATGCATCAAAATAAACCCTTCAAACACCAAACAAAACAGGTTGGAATATTTTGATTTCAGAGGTTAACAATATTAACAGTCTGAGCCTTTGTATGTATGAAGATTATTTTTTTTTTTAAGAAAGAAAGAAAAGAGAAAAAAATAATAGATATCCCTCCAGCTGAAAAATACTTTTGCAAATGGGAGCTAGGACAAGATATTTTTATAGTATCTCCTCATTAACTATAAATCCAATTTTGGTTCTTTTTCCTTTCTTTTGTTATGCATTATAATACACACTATTCTCTATATAATTTCTGTCGATGAGGATGACATCACAGCATGATATTACTTTATCCCTCCGTTTCCTTTTGTTATGTTTTGTCACCCGCACCCCAGCACCGTCCCTTGTCCAGCAGTCGCTGTCCCCGCCGTGGCAGCTCACAACCACTGCCCAAAAACGCAGTTCTGGGGGACACAGGACCAGGGAGCCCTCGCTCCCACAGCCCTGCCACAGCTTGGTCCCACCCAGGAGGTCTCATCCACGAGGAAAACTCGCAGGATGAGTCCCAAATCCAGCACAGCCCCACGCCCTCGCTCCTCCTTTGCATCCAGTGCCAAAGTCGGCGGCAGTTTGGCAAAGCACGAGTGGAAATCCCAGTGCTGAACTGGGTGGGCACCCCGCTACAGCCCCTCTGTCCCCCCACGGGGCTGAGCCTACCCGGACCTGGACACGTCCTCTGTGAACCTAGACATGTCCTGTGTGGACCTGGACACGTCCTGCCCAGACCTGGACATGTCCTGCCTGGACCTGGACATGTCCTGCCTGGACCTGGACACGTCCTGACCAGACCTGGACATGTCCTGTGTGGACCTGGACACGTCCTGACCAGACTTAGACACATCCTGACCAGACCTGGACATGTCCTGTGTGGACCTGGACATGTCCTGACCAGACTTGGACACATCCTGACCAGACCTACATGCCCTGCCTGGACCTGGATATGTCCTGTATGGACTTGGACACATCCCCCCTGGACCTGGACACGTCTTGCCCAGATCTTGACATGTCCTGCACAGACTTGGACACGTCCTGCCTGGACCTTGACACGTCCTGCCCAGACCCAGACATGTCCTGCCAGGACCTGGACACATCCTGCCATCAGCTCAGCACTTTCCAGTGCAGCTCTGCCCTCTCTGCTCCCAGCCCCAGGTTTTGGGCACCTGCTCTTGGTGCCACTGCTTGTACCCTCGTGTTGCTGCCTCACAAAGACCACCACCAGCAGCATTCACACAGCACGGCACAGCACGGCACGGCATGGCACGGGTCACCTCGGTCCCCACCCCGGCTCCAGCGGCCCCACGGGCTGATGCAAACCCCGGGGATCTCCCCATTGCCCAGCCAAGCCGAGGGGAAAACAGCGGTGCCCGCTGGCACTGCCCCCCTGGGGGTGCCCGTGTCCTGTCATTGTTCCCAAAAACCGACCCTGCTTTGGTGGGGTGTGATTGTGCAGCAGGGAGGTCTCACAGACCAGGCTTCAACAAGGCTCTGCTGCTCCTAATCCACAGGGAGGAAGACCCAGTTTGGCACATCGGGTCCCAGTTCCACCTGCCTCCCTCCAGCTCAGGCACAAGGGGGGTGCCCCGTCCTTCAGCACCCCGAGGGGGTTACCCCAAAAGCCTGGGAAGGATCGTGGGGGCAGCTGAAGCCAGCGAGGGTCAGTCAGTTGGGTCACACTGCAAGAAGGGGTCACCAAGGGCATCCTCGAGGTGGGAGGGAAGGGGAGAAGTGCAAGGACCCGGCTCGGTGGGCGCTGCAGAAAAGGAATGGGTGCAGGAGGAGGGGGCTGTATTTAGTTATCATTATTGCTGGTGAATTAGACCAACAAGCCATTTTTAGTCACCTATCAAGGAAGATACAAGTCAGAGCAAATAGTTAAGGTCATGGGCATTTTTCTTGTTTTTTGTTTTTATTATTTTTTTTTAAAGATTTTTATATATATACATATATTTAAAAAGAGGAAAAAAAATTACGCAAATTTGTTGTTTAAGCCCCGCAACCGGGCTCCCCATGGATGCCAACAGGCAGGGCCCGGGCTGCCCCTCTCTGGGTGCCCCATGGGGCCAGGGAGAGGCCCGAGCCCCCCGAGTTCCCTGCAGCCCCCACTCGAGGCAGAGGTAGCTCTCGGTGCATTTACAGCGCCTGTTTTTTCTTTCTTCCAAAGTTGCTACATCAAAATATGGAGTCGGTGGGGGGTACAGCGGGAAGCAGGGGACAGGGAAAAATCAAAATAAAACAGGGGCCGAAATACTTCTATTCATTTTAAACTAGAACTGCTACATCAAGCTTTTTTTTAATATATATGTATATGTATATATATATGTGTATATATATATATATATATATAAAGGTTATTGGAACTGAAGATTTTATTAAAGGCCAACTTGGACACTTGAGTAGGAGCCTCAACTGCAGAGAGGGGCAGCCCACCCAGGACAGCCCCACTCCGGTTCCCAACAGCAAGCATTGGACGTTTGTTTGGGTCATGATTATTATTTTTTTTTTCCCTTCTTTTTTTTTTTTTTTTTTTTTTAAGAAAGGGGTTTTGTTTTTTTCTCTAACATTTTTTCAGCATGCAGGAGGCTTTTACATCGTTTTCGCTTGTTAAGGTGAGGGAGGAGGTACAAGGAGCAGAGGTGAGCCCCACGTACCTTCCCCATTCCCCACCCCCTACAGTCAGTGCTAGAACAGGTCCCCCCACCCCAGGTCCCCAACACAGGGGTCTCCTTCCCCCCTCCCCACTCCCACCCACCTCTTCACAACCTGGCATCAAATAAAGACATTGATCAAGAACTTGCTCACATTACCACGAACAGACTCCACTCAGCCAAGAACGACTATCACTCACTAACACAGCGCGGTCACCGCCGCCTCCAGCTCAGCCCCTCCAGCACCAACACCAACATTTCTGAGCGCCCCTCGGAGGGGTGGCTGGTCCCCCTGCCCACCCCCGACCCCCACCCCCCGCCCCCCAGCTCCTGCTTCAACCACTCTCTCTACGTCAGCGGGAGAATTTTGCGCAATGAACGGATAAAATACAACCCTGGGGTGGGGAGGGCAGCACCTGATGGGGAAGGTGGCACTGGGGAGGGGAGAGGTTCCCAGAAACAGCCATGTCCCCTCTCCCTGCCCTCCCCTCCCCTTCACCGGGACCAAACTGAGGCCAGATTTTGGATGAGAATGGGTCAGTTGTAGGAAGGATGTGGCCAGTGCTGGCCGGGCTCTGAAGCCTTTGCTGAGGCCACGCTGTGCCACAGGACAATTCGGGACGTGGGGGCTCTGGGGGTTCATCCAGAGCACCCCAGCCCTCCATCACCCCCCAGGCTCCACAGCAGAGGGTGCAAAACTTCCCCCAGGAAGTGCTCGCACCCTGTGTGAACGCCCAGGGGCTCCTCAGAGCTTTGGGGAGGAGGGGAGTACCAATCCTGCCTGACGGTGTCCCGTTAGCATTGTTACTTTTGTCTTTACTTTTTCCAAAACATCAGCATCTACCACAGCCTGGGAACATTGTCCACCCCTCCGATCTGCCCCTTTAGAATATATAACTGTTGATGCAAAACAGTGGAGGCATCCCATCATCCCGCCATCATTTCAAACCCTCCAACTGGTATCTGAAGATCAAAAGTGGATCTTTATCAGCAGAGAGCACCAGCACCGCCTGCCCCAGCACAGTGAGCTCAGCCCCTTCAGTGGCTGCAGCCACAACTGGCCTGAGCCCACCGTGCCAGGGCACAGGCAGCAAACCAAGCAGGAGGGAGGATGTTCCCAGGAACATTATCACGATGAAAATAAAGTCTCCTGTAACTGAAGGGAATAAAAAATCTCAGGCGATTTTTTTTTTGCTTGTTTTTTGTTTTCTTTTGATGTTAGAACTGTCTGTGCCAAGTTGTGAAACTTGTTGGTTCAGTTCTAAATCAGGGTCCAGGATCTGTGAGCAGAAGTTGAGGGGTAGGAAATGGGGAAGTGGTGGTAGTGGGAGAAAAATTATATATATGGGTTTATATACACACATATATATATATATAGGTGCTTGATTAATTAAGTGCCTATATATATATATATACACACATATATTTATAGCTGGGTGTACTGGTACTCAATAGGTCAATCCAACACATTTTTAACATCACAGCATTTTGGCATCCACAGACCAGCTGAACAAACCTGATGGAGCCAAGGTGCTGGCCTGCACCTTGCATGCGTTGGCACGGGAGCCAGATCTGAAGCCCATCCTTTCCCACTTCCCAATGGTTTTAAAGTATTTCATTTAACAAAACCAGGAGTCTTGAAATGATTAAAGGATGTTCAACAAGGCAAATTTTTTTCTGTTTTGTTTCGTTCTGAAAAAAATATAATATATAAAAGTGGCCAACCTCAGGAAGATCCAGGAAAAGGACAGCTGAAGAGGTTTTGGTCCATAAAGAAATACTTTTTCTTCTTTTTTGTTTTTTTTTTTCCCCTACTTGGTTTGGGTAACAAAAGTTTTGGTCCAGTTTAAAAACGACGACAACAAAATTATCTCTATAAACTCGGGGTTTTTTTTGCTCTCTGTTGGGATGCATGTTGGTTTCATATGGGCTCATTGCCTGTATTGCAAGATCGTCTCTCTTAGGTTTTGGTGCAATAGGTATGTTTTTTAAGAAAAGAAAAGCACAATGTTCTGTGTGTGTGTAGTGTGTGTAGCTGCAGCTGGCATCACTTGGAGGAAAGAATGAAGAGTGACCTACGGAAACGTGGAAGTCGATGCACTCCCGCCACGGACGGGAACTCGGGAATGCTTTGGAAATACCCTGTTAGTGACTCCTGATTGGACTGATGAACAAATCCCTGCTTGGATAAGGAAAAAAGAACAAAGTTCCAGACTCCACGGTGGCTCAGAATAACAAAATAAATGCTCGTCGCCTGGTGTGATCCCAATAGGTTCTTCCAAACCTTCTTCAGTTTCACTGGCGTCGTTTTTATTTCTTCACCTTCTTTTTTTGATTTTCTTTTTTTTGTGTTTTTTGTTTGGGTTTTTTTTAGAAAAAAAGGAAAACAATAAAAGTTCTTTAGCTGTGATTTTTTTTTTTGTTTAAATCTTTGAGGTAATACAGTTGTGCCCTCGTTCTAACAGGTTCCCAGAGGTTGATGGTTTCTTTCTTGTTCTTCTAAATCCCTGTCATCCGTTTTCCTTTCTTTCTGTTGTTTCTTTCTGAGCTCCCAGTTGGGCCGACAACCCTGGGGGGAGGAGAGTGGGGGCTTCAGGCCAAGACAAAGGTTGAAGGTGGCTGGAGAAAGGCTGGCAGGGCCCTCCCTGCATCCCTGCTCCCTCCCCAGTCGATCCAGGTGGCCTGGCTTGGTCATCACCAAGAAGTCCCAATCTCACCACCAAAAAAAACTGAACTAAACTGCTTTGCTTGCGAGATCCGAGTGTGCGTTCTGAGTACTTGGTTTACAAAAGACATTGCAGGCTGGAGCATTGTTCGCCCTTCAAAATTTCTGGCTTTGCTATTCACTTTAATTTTATTATTCACTTATTTTTTTTAAAAAATAACATACATTGCTTGTAAAATAATTTCTTTTCTTCTTTTTCTTCTTCTTCTTCTTCTTTAAATTAATTTATTCTTTCATTCATTTTTTTGTTCTTCAGATGTCATTATTATTATTATTATTATTATCATTATTATTATTATTATCATCATCATCATTTTTCTCTCACGGACCCCCCCACTCTCCCTTCCTACCCCCACCCCCCCAACGCCCTGCTCTGTCTCTTTAGGAAAATATTCTAATGGCCTGAGTGGCTGCCGCGTGGCAGACGGGGCACTCGGGATCAGTCCTCTCGCAGATCCTCACGGCACACTCCATGCAGAAGAGGTTGTGGCCGCAGGGCACCAGCGCGGCCGTCACCTCGCTCTCGAAGCACACCATGCACTCGCGGCTGCTGGCCACGGCCGTCCGGGCAGCGGCGGGTGTCCCCAGCTTGGAGAAGCCCTGCAGCGGCTCCCCCTGCGACCGCCGCGGCAGCCCGGAGAGGCCGGGCTCCGGCATGGAGGAGGACGGCGAGCGGTGGGAGTTGGGGTGGATGGTGCCGGTGCTGCTGGAGCGCTGCTGCTTTGAGAAGAGCACCGAGACGGGGTTGGTGTTCTCCTGCCCAGCCCACATCGGGGCCCCTGACTCCGGCACCCCGTAGTACAAATCCTGCTTGTTCACGCCGTAGTTGGGGAAGAGGTAACCGTAATTGAAGTCGTTTTGGTCGTTCAGCCGGGGGGTCTCGTAGACGGGGTCAACAGAGCAGTCGCCGATGCAGCCCAGGCTGTTCTGGCGGAAGGTAGAGAGGGGCTTGCAGCCCGGCGCTGGCGTGTGGACCCGCCAAGCCTCTGAGTAGCGGTTCTCCATGCCGGAGTCGGGGCTGCTGGAGAGGAAGTCGTTCTCGTTGTTGTACTCCAGAATCTTGCCCGTCCTCACCGCGATGTGCGTCTCGATCTCCTCCCGAGCGCGCTCCACGTTGCCCGGCGCGCCGGTGATCTCGAAGACGGGGTCCCGGTCTCGGCTGGGCGTGATGATGTAGGTGTTGGTCTGCTGCTGGATCCGCTTGATGGTGGCTCCCTTGGGGCCCACCACCAGCCCCACCACGCGGTAGGGCACGCGCACGCGGATGGTGACCTGCCCCGGCAGGGTGGGCGCGCTGCCGAAGGTGGTGCCCGCCTTGTTGCGGGAGGCCCTGATCATGGAGAAGTGCTCGGCCGCCGAGATGATCTCCCGCCGGGCCATGGCCACGTCCTCCCGCCGCCCCGTCACCATGAAGACCGGCTCCTCCCCCCGCACCGGGGTCTTGATGTAGGTGTTGGTCTTTGCCCGCAGGGCTTTGATCTTGCAGCCTTGGGAAGAGAGAGAGGAAGGCACAGCAGTTAACGGGGATGTCCCACCCTGCTCTGCAGGACACTGGGCTGAGCAGCCACCATCTCCTGTGCCACCTGGCACCCACTGCGCGGGACGTGGAACAAGGGAAAGGCCCTATCCCCCTAACCCTGAGGGGAAATGCCAGAGGGAGCCCCCCCTCACCATCCCCAGATACTCCCTCCCTCAGGAGTGCCATGCTCCCTTATCCCCCACAATGGGGATCACCATTTTGTGTGCTGCACCTCACCACACCATGCCCCGACTGCCTTCCCTCAGCAGTCACCCCTAAGATCTCCCTTCCACACACCCCAACACCACAGAGAAACGGGGGATCCACCCTGGGTGTCAGTGCTCTCTGTAACAAAGCCTGTCCCCAGAGCCCCAGGGTGGCCCCCCAGGCACAATGGTCATCCTTGGGCTCTGGGGACAGGGCTAATGCATGGGGCAGCCTGGGGGTCACAGGAGAACAGAGGGATGCCAGTCCCACAGCCTGGATGGCCAATGTGGAGCCCCTCGGCCACCGTGTGCCAGCTCCCAAGGAGAGTCACCCTCCAGAGAGCCAGAGGATTTTGGTACTACTGAGAAGGTTTTAGGGTGAATGCCGTTAACTTTAGGGGACAAGTTTGAAGGGGAGTTGCAGAGATGCAGCAGTTTGGGCCTCCCCACTGCAGATATGGCAGGAGTGCAAATGCCAGCAGAGCTAGATGACCAGGGGTAGCAGGAGGACAGGATTTGCTTTGGGGCTGAAACAGGAAGAAATGGGGCAGGGCTGCCCTCCTGTGAGCCCCAGAGCAGGCTGTGCAAAGACTCCTGCTCCAGGTGCTCAGTCCCTCTCTCGAGATCACTGGCCAAGCAGTGCTTTTGTGTACCAGTATCCACATCCCAGAGCCCATTGAACCATTCCCCAAATCCTAGAACCGACCAAGCCCATTCCCCCAGCTCCTCACAGCTCAGAAAACAGCCTTCTGCTTTCCCAAAAAGGGCAAAAGACTTTCCAGTGTGTTTTGGCTTCCAAAATGATGTTTTGGAGGGTCTTGATCCAGCTGATTGGCTTCAGGTTTCCAGATGACACCAGGATGCCATCAAGCAACTAAGAGTTTTTACAGATGTGGCACAATTCTCTAAACTACTCCTGGACCCGCTCCTTGCTGCTGTCCTGCCCCTCAGACCCCTCTCTCAAAAAGCCTCACTTGGTGCCCCGAGGCATTTCTGAAGCCTGGCACCAAGCTCCAGTGCAGGCTGGGGGTTCCTCTGCAGGAGGTGTGCTCTGAGCTCAGATCTCAAAGGAAAGTTAAAACCTGTGGTTCTCCCATGCAGATGAAGTGAGGTGAGCACTTTGCTGCGGTTTCCCGAGGATCTGGGTGTGTGATGCAGGGCTCACAGAACCAGAGGATGAGGACACAGCACTGAGATTTCTGTGAGATCCCCCAGCACCTCCTACCCCACCTTCTCTGCCCAGAAAAGACCATCTCCTGTACGTCCTCTACCTGACACCAGCAGGTTTTCCTCCACACACTCCACTGACACCACATTTCAACACACAATGACCTGCAAACGATGCCTCTGCAACCACCAAATGCAGATTCCTCAGCTCCTGGGCTGGAACATTATTATTTATATAGATCCTGATAAATAACAGGCTGGGGGCTCAGGGCTGCCACAGCTCCCCTTGTGAGACACAGGCTGGTGACATCAGGGTGCTCCCTGGGGTGCAGCGATCCCAGCACCCCGTATCATCGGTGAGAACTGAAGCCCACACCTGTGGTGATGGAAACAGCCTGGTGCCACCGGAGCTGGCAGGAACAGCGACTCCCTGGGCTCAGGGGTGCATCCAGCAGTGCCCAGCGTGGAGCCCGCTCAGACGTGCTTGCAGCACTGGCACTGGGCATGGCACGGGCATGGCACCTCACAGGCACTGAGCACAGCACTGCACGGACACCAGGCACCACACATGGCACAGCACAGGACACATGCTGGTAAATCAGAACTTCCCTGTCAGCTCCCACTGTGATTTTTAACTCCTCAGAGCTACTTCAGCTCCCAGAGCCTCGTTTCCCATTTCTGGAGCAGGAATAGCTGTCTCCTGCCTTGTGCTCCTGCAAAGTTTCCTCTTAGCTCCACATCATAGCACTGCTGCAATAAACCCATCTCTGAAACAGGAATTCCACGTTCCTGGGGAATGGATGTGCCAGATCTGGCACACAGAAAGATCTGGGAAAATCCCCAAATCCAAACCAAATCTACCCCCTGCCAAATCCAGCGTAGCTCATGGGTTACTCCCCAGAGTTTGCACCATGAGGTACATTTGTGATGCTTTGTTGAGTAAAGTTTCCAAACAGCCCACATGGACCAGCGGTCACCCAGTGGTGTGCTATTAGTTCCCAGGAAACTCAAAGGACAGGACCTCATGGAGCCAGGCACAGCTCAACTGTAGGATAAACCCAGGCAGGCAAAATCCATAATAAAGGTTCATCCCAAGGAGAGCTGGATAAAACCCTGAGAGGTCACCCATGCCCTGTGGCACCCATGGCAGGGTGGGCTGTCCCTGACCCACCGCTGGCAGACATTTCCCTGCCCCCTCCTGTGCTGCTCACTCCCTCTCCAAAGAGGGAGATTCCATCTTAGGAAGATTAACCGAGATGCCACCATTTCCCCAGGGATATCACCAGAGCATCACATGGAGAGACAGGGGTGCTCCCAGCAAGCATCAAGCTGCAAATGCCTCCTGGTGCATCAGCCCAGGCTGCGGGAGCGCTGTGGAATTCCGCAGTGACCCGCGCTCTGCCTCTGGAGCGCCAGGCTCGCTCTCCTGGGCAGAAAAGACCTCAGGCAGGCGTGAGGCACGGCTGGGCTCGGGCTCTGCGCTGCTCTGAGCTGTGGGACAATGATCTGAGCCCGGCAGGACAGGAAACAATCGCCCAGCCCACAGGGAGGGTCAGGCAGGCAGAGCGGTGACAAAGGACGGGGGCTCCATGCTGGGGACAGATGGAAGGGAGCAGTGGCAAGGAATACACATGAATGAGGGCAAATGTAAGCACGTTACAGGAGCTGGAGGTAGGGATGGAGCAAAGGTGGTGGAAATTGAGGGAGGGGCACACCCTGATCCCTCCAAGGGAGGAGGAGAATGAGGTGTGTGGGAGCAAAGCCAAGACACCCCAAAATGGCAAAAGGAAGGTGGGCAAGGAGAGAGCACGGCAAGAGGGAGAGGAAGGAGGATCTGGAGCGGACAAAAGGACGCGTGGTGCAGTCGGTGGTGTGAGAAGGGGGGAGGAGGAGGGAGGGTCTCTGTGCAGGCCTGCAGACGGGAAAGCCAGCTTTGTGGAGACAGACAGATGGGGATCCTGTGCTTAAAAACGGGAGAAAATCACCTCCTAGGAAATTAGACCAACTCCGCCAAGCCCAGCAGGCTCAGCGGCCCCGGCCTCCAGCAGCTCTGAACTGGCACAGACAATGGCCAAACCATCAGCAGCCCAAATCCAGAGAACTCCACAACTTCCAGGGGCGCTGCACTGGTTTACATCAGCTAAAACCAGGCTGGGCTTAAATGTGATTTACTCACTTAGTGCCAAGGCTCCGGGCCCATCTCAGCCCCATGCCTGACCTCTTTGCACACTAAAAAGGGGCTGAGCCTGCTTTGAGATCACCTTTTTCTGATGGAGCACATCTGGATCAGGATGTGGCCCATGACATCCCAGCCAGATGTGCTTATTCCAAACAAAATTTGTCCTGCATGGGGTGTTTTTTTGACACTTTCGCTTCCTGCATAACTGAAATTTGAAAGCACCATGTAACAAAGCATTTCACTCAGGGGATTATTCAAAGGGGAGGGAGGTGGAAGGGAAGGAATTGCCTAGCAGGTGGTGTCAAAATGAAGCTAAGGGAAGAAAGAGACCCATGAAAGCAGCACCAATATATAACTTGGTGTATGTTCTCCTCGTTATGACAGAGCACAGACATCAGCGTGTCGATCCCTGACGGATCCCTGCCACTTAGATTTTTATATTAAACAGAGAATTAAGCCCTTTCTCATTGTGTTTCCACAGCCTACCTTCTATTATCCTGGGTTTTGTCAATAATACAGATCCCAAAGCATTTCATGAAGGAGACTATAAGCTCAGTTCCTCCCCTTACCCTTTTTTCTCTTTAATTTCACTGATTACCAATTGACTCAAAGTAAACGTGTTTGCAAATTACCACAATACATCACAAACATTCCCACACAGGACCAAACCCTGGAGGAGTGGAGAGCCTCTGGTGCCCAGACCAGTCAGCTAACTGGAATAAATCCGCAGAACAGCCATCTCCGGCTGAAAACATATAAATAAATTGAGTCTAGACATTGCCAAGATGGGTGGTGGGGGTCAGGGGGAGATCTGGATGCACAGCCACCTTCTCATCTCTTCTTTCCCCTGCATCATGGCAAGGAATCCATCAAAATTAACAGAGAAAGCTCGAGGAGCTTGGTTCACCTCTCCAGCAAAGACAGCTGCTCACAAGGGACACGAGGGTGCTGGATGCATCTGATCTAGCTGTCGTTTCCTTGGCACGAGCCCATCCCAAATGTTCTCCCTCCGAGCAGCCCCAAACCAGTGTGTTTTCACAGGACCTCAGCAGGGTTTACCCCGAGGCTCCCAGGTGCTGCTCCATCAGGGGCAGAGGATGATCAGAGCAGGAAGGGATGTGCCCAGCACAGCACCACGGTGACAAGGGATGTGCCCAGCACAGCACCACAGTGACAAGGGATGTGCCCAGCACAGCACCACGGTGACAATGCCACCAGGACAGTGCCATCACACACAGCTGTGCGTGCCGAGCAGATCCCGCAAATAATTTCACTTTGGTGTAAATTCAGAGTTAGACCTCCTGATGACCTTCTCCTTGGTGCTGCCACAAGGCCAGATCCTGCACAGGTATATTCTGCTGCTGATGCAGTCTAGAGGCTCCCACCTGGCACCAACTGGCACCTCCAGCCCAGGAG